GGTCTGCCACGCCTCCTTCTGCCTGTTACATACATTTTAACAAAACCATTATATCCTGATTTCCCCTTTTTAATGGGTTCAGGGTATAAAAACGGAAAAGAAGTCCTTGCACTTTATATTTTTATACCCTGAACCCATTGAAAATGGGAAATTAGGGTATACACGTTTTGTTAAAAGCATATATATCAATATATTATTTAGTTTAGACGAAATATATATAAATACATATTCGTGAGAACGGATCCATAAAATTATTTCTGTTTTCATACTCATTCACGAAAGTGAAATGAGTATATTGGTTTTGTGCAATGTCTGTCTTGATGTCCGTCTGTCCGTATGAACGCAGTCTATTTCGGCGCTATTGAAGCTAGAGACTTGAAATTTGGAACATATACTTGTGTATATCTCCGATTTGTAAAGTGTATAAATTTTCCGGACCCGCCCACTAGGGGCGTGGCAAATCGGACCTGAAGATATAGTGATTTCAATTTCAAACACTATTGATGCTAGAGACCTAAAATTTGGTGTATATACGCAAGTTGACCACCCAAATGCAACGAGCTGTGATGGATTTTTCTCCGCCCAAAGGAGGCGTAGCGAACCGGAAAACTTTATATATCCTAAAGTATAAGAGCAAGAAGCTTCAAGTTTGGATAGTTAAGTTACGGGTAACCTCCTCTATCGATTCTCTAAATAATATTGTTACGCCTTTTTATGGGCGTGGCATATAAAAAATACCCTGTAATTTTTTCATTTTTTGAGCATAAGCATCCAAATTTTGCAGCTAGGTTACGGCCACTAGGGGCGTGGCAATCGGCATTTATAGTGCCCAAATTGCGACATTGATATGCGTAAGCCATCTATTTATGTATTTGTACATATAAATAAGCTTGATAAATATTCATAATGCGGAAAAATATTTTTATAAAATTTGAAAAATATAAAAAAAGCTGAAATAACAAAAATTTGCAATTTACAAAAAACAAAGTTTTCCGCGGGATTTGAGCTCGCACCCAAGCCAAGTAGCATGTTTGTGAAAAAATCTAAAATAATCCCGCCGGTGCTTCTGCCTTTAGCACCACCACGTCAATGCAAAGCAAATCAATCGCGAACTGAGATTCTTAGAAAACGCATGGGTCCCCGTATGTGTGTATGCATAAGAAAGGCTGGAATTTTATGCGTGTAGACTTATGTATATAATATATACATACTTATACATATGTATATACATATAATCGGAAGCTAATTCGAGCGGCGACTTTAACGACTGAAGATATATTTATACTTAAATTTAAATTTAATAAATGCCACTAGAGGAATATAGTATCACGCATTCGGCCTGTGAATGAGTATTCTGCAGTTGGTAACGACCGACTCCAATGTTCTTATTTGTTTCATTTAAATTTACGATTCTAGTTCTACAACTTTATGTATTCAGTCGAATTAATGTATATCTAAGTTCACTTATTTTCTGGTAGATATAATGTTTTCGATACAACTCTAAGTTATCAATAAATATAATAACGTTATATGTAAAAGAATATGAGATTATCTTAATATACATATGTAATTAAATAGTTTTATAAAGGCTAGGTAAGGGAAGAGTACTTTAGGTGGAACTACCCGACTAGCCTGAACACCGAGAAAAACAGATGATTAAAATTTTCCGACGGTGATGATCACATTCATGTTTGCTTATATATGTGAGCTTGGGCGAATGGAGAAGTTATGTAAATATTAGATTATCTATTTTGATCGATAACAGGATATAAGAGATATATTTCATTTACAATATTGAAGTTTTAGTGCTTTTGCTCTTAACGAGAATTTAAATTGTCAATGAATTCAATGGGTATATATTTATATATGTATCTTGTTATCCTATCAATTTATATTGAAATACTGCTAGACTACGTTCAAGTCATGAAAAAATTGATTTGAAAGTTATAAAACAATGCTTTTTCTTGTCGATTTAAAGTATTTCATACGGTTTAAAGTTATGAATTTATTGAAAATCTAGAGCAGTATCAACTTGTCTTTATCTAGGAAAACTTTTAGAACACGTTCCTATATTATGCCCGTACTGTATAATTGACCGAATGAGATATATTAACCACGATAGCGGTATGTTGATAATAAAGTTATATGCGATAAGAGAATACTTGTTATGACGCAAGCAGAAGTCTTGCGACGGCTTCTAGTAAGATTATCTTTCTGGATGCAGCTCAAGTCAGTAATTTCTGGTAAAATCATGAAGTTAGTATGTTGAGAACTATTTATAAAAAGAACTCAATCGGTTTGATGACTAAAATGCTTACGTAGAGCCTGACCTTATCAAAAAATTAGGCCGTTGTACTATAGTCAAGTGGCTATTGAATTCGTCATATATGCATTGAACAGCGTGGTAAGTGCTATTTGTCTTTCCAACGTTATCTGTCTATCTACATAGGTGCACTATAAATTGTATATTATTTTTGTCTCTATAATCTATGTCTAGCAACGGTCTATAAAAAAGATTTTTGAACTTTTAGTAGCTGGATATTTAATCGATTGATTAAAGACACTTCATATTTGGCCATCTCATGGAATGCGGATCTACACTCCAAAATTCAGCTTTCTGGCTCTTCAATTAATATGATTCTGGCATATCGGAAAACGCATTTTCCGATTTGGGTAGTGGGTGGATAGGGATTTTAACACTTTATAAATCGGAGATACACACAAGTATGGGTTCTCTAGCTTCAATAGTGCCGAAATGAGCTGCGTTCATACGGACAGACGGACATTTCACAAAACCAATATACTCATTTCACTTTCGGGAATGAGTAATAAAAAAAAATGAATCGTCATGATTAATCAAGGCTAAAATAGAGATAAATTATTATTTTTTAAGCCTGAATTTCCACAGTCCGCCGTTTTCGAATTTTTCACGCATTGGTACTTCAAATAAAGCCTGATCTAATAGGAAAAAGATAAAATGACAGCCCTAAGATTCGTATCGCTCCCTAAACGATGCTCGTTAAAGGAACGTCACACGAATAGGTTAACTCAATATACTCAAGAGAAACAGAAACGAGAAGAAACGAAGGTAGAAAGATTTCGAATTTACAACAGGGCCCAAATGTGGCCAGCAGTTTCTTTACTCAGAAGATACAAAAGCTAGAGAGCTGAAATTTGGTATACATACTACTGTATACCAACGCAGTACGAGTTTGCTTTATTTTTCCGATAACTTTTTTATCGAGAATAATCGAAAAATTGATTTTGTTTTTTTAGCCTCATTTGAAAACTATTAGACCTAGAAACTTCAAATTTACTGTGTATATGATGTATATGATGAATACAAACATTTTGTAATTTACAGATTTTGGATACCACGCCCCCTTCGTCCTCAATTTGTAAAAAACGCATTTAAAATACTAGAGACTTGTGCTTTGGAATGTACATAAATTTGAACATTATGATTATGTTCTGAAAGCTTCATTAAGATTGTACATCTAAAAAATTAATTTAATTTTTTCACACACAACAATTTTCAACAAATAAATTTTCATAATATTGCCCACACTGCAGCGCAACCCAAGCACAATCGCTGCTTACTGCGCAGTTAGCAGAGCGCAAAAGAAGTACACAATGATTAGAATATCAGATTGGAGGGGTCAAGGTATCTCCTAGTCGAGCAGTCTCGACTGGACTTGTTTTCAATTATTCAATTACTTTTATTTTTTTAATTTGGGTTTTATTGAAAAATGAGAAATGTGTAAATGAAGTTTTTAAAATAATTCCCACGAGTATATTAATTCACTGTATTTTTTCTTTCAGAGATCGAAAACGGAGACAGGCTGAGAGTGAAAAAACTTTTCGCATAATTGGATTACGTTTAGAAGATGATAGTTCTGAGTCCAATGATGGCGTACCTAGTGTATTGAGTAATAAGGAACAAACGATTCGAGTTTTCGGTGTTGAATTACAGAAAAATACAGTTATCGCGTTTACCAGTGAAGAGAATGATTATAAAGGAGCTTGTTTAAAACCTATAACCGAAATTTTTAAACCAGACCATGTTGCTGATAGCGGACTTACTGCAACATATACGGTAAAATTTCCGTACTCAAAGAGCGTATTATATATTTGTGCGAAAGTTGACGATAACGGAGTAACTGTGAGTTTTACCTCATTAGGTTCAAAATAACGTAAAATAATGTGTTATTACTGGTTTTTGTTAAAGCATCAGAGCGCGGCAGAAACCACACCCCTTGTACATCAAGGCAATGACAAATGGATGAGAATCGAAACGCATCAACCACTTTTGCCTCTTTGGGTCGCTATTGTGATTATTGTAACATGTTTATGTTTCTCAGCTTTGTTCTCCGGTCTAAACTTAGGTCTTATGGCTTTGGACCGTACTGAATTAAAAGTATGTACTTGAGGGTAAACCCATTAACCGTTTAAATATTAAAATAGTTTATCTCAGATATTACGAAATACTGGCACGGAAAAAGAAAGAAAATATGCCGCGAAAATTGCACCTGTCAGAGATCAAGGTAATTATCTGTTGTGCAGTATTCTCTTGGGTAATGTGTTGGTTAACTCCACCTTTACCATTCTACTGGATGGTTTGACTTCTGGACTTTTTGCTGTCATATTCTCCACCTTGGCTATTGTACTTTTCGGTGAAATAACACCACAGGTAGGCATTCAGTTAATCTGTATGATTGGTTTCTGTAAAAGTAACACGCTGAATTAAATCAATCCAATTTATGGTCTTCTTATTATTGACTTATACCCCCAGCAATTCTCAAACGGCTTTACTATTCCTTCATTATTAAAAATAATAGTACTGATTAATATGTATGTTTATATATGAAAGGGGTTGATATGTCGGTATAAAAAATACACAAAGAAAAAAACAAAATTAATTTGGAAATACAATATTATTTTATATCGTACGCCATAAGGAATCTATTTAAGTTGAAGTTTGCGATTGGTTATCCGTGTTGTAAAAGCCAATTTTGATTATTTTGATTTCTGAGCTCACTCCGCCTACGTTTTAGGTTCTGCTGCCCTTCTCGAAATTAAAAACATTTTGAACAGTAGGCTCAGGCTTTACACCTAGCTGGATACTTTCTGGTTGCTATAGCTGATGGCACACTTCCTATGGAATTTCGAGTGTTGGAAAATGTAATAACGTAATAGAACGAAGCACACTTTAAGACAATCTTTAACATTAATAATAATTATCCAGTAATATTAATAAAAAATCAATAGCATTAACAATTTAAACAAATTTTTAAAGAATGGATGAAAGTATAAAGATAATAATTACTATCTAATAGAAAATAATATTTTAAGAGAATGAGTCGCATAATAAATACATTTAGAAATGTAAATGAATATGGATTCTTATCAGTGCTTATCTACTCATTCACGAAAGTGAAATGAGTTATTGGCTAGAGACTAGACATTTAAGAAACATCTCGTGTATATCTCCGATCTCAAATAAAGTGTTATTTTACTGATCCGCCCTCTAGGGGCATGGCAAATTCTTAAATATATTTTCCGATATAGCAAAAATCATATTAGTTGAAGAGCTAGACAGCTGAAATTTTGAATGTAGATCCGCGTCGACCACCCAAGATCACGAACTATGCCGGATATAAAGTGTATCTGCTTGAGTTTTACAGCTAGAGCTGTAAGAATTAATGAAATAAATATATGTCTACATCCACATATGATATATGTATATCTCGGGCTGACCACCAAAGACCAAAAAAATAAGGCGGTAAAGTATATATCCGTCCACAGGGGCGTGGTAAACCGCAAAACTTTATATTTTCTAAGTTATAACAAATTCGAAATTTTGATAGTTAAGTTAACATCCTCTCTCGATATTCCAAAAATAATTGTTATGCCTCTTTAAGGGCGTGAGTTAGGTCACCATTAAAAAAAACTGGCCAAAAATAAGGTGTCTACGCCCAGTAAAGGCGTGGCAAATCGAGATAAACTGCATTTTCTACAGTATAACAGCCAAACTTAGCCAGCTTTGCTGATGGGATGTGAATGAGTATTCTGCAGTCGGTAACAGCCGACTGCAACGTTCTTATTTTTTCTCAAATAATCAAATCATTTCCATTATTGCTCAATTATACTTAATAGTTTTGCCTTATACTTAAACAAGAGAAGAGGGTCTCTAATAGATTTTAAGTGACTTGATTATGCTTTTTGATTAACGAATTATATATATTAAGAAAAAAGAATATGACACAAATACTCACAACTGGTAAAGCCCAGTCATACGCGACTACTTTGTATGGCAAACACATTTATTATTTATGGTTAGATTACTAAAAATGGATTCATTTGAAATACATAATGGCGTAACTCTTACAGAAATCAATCATTCTTATCTTTCAAAATAAAACTCTTTTTCACAAATATTTTGTATATATTCCAAAATAAAACAAAAATAATATAGGCTGTTTGTTCAAGACACGGTTTAGCTATTGGCGCTAAAACTATATTGATTACCAAAACGGTAATGGCCATAACAGCTCCTCTATCATATCCAATATCTCGTGTTCTAGATGCAATATTGGGTGAAGAGATTGGTAATGTATTTAATCGTGAACGTCTAAAGGAACTTGTTCGTGTAAGTAAACAAAACTTTCCAAAAGTTTTGATTTCAATTATGCTAAGAAATGTTTATGCGTAGGTTACAAACGACGTAAATGATTTGGATAAAAATGAAGTGAATATTATTTCCGGCGCATTGGAGTTGCGTAAGAAAACTGTCGCCGATATTATGACTCATATAAATGACGCCTACATGCTTTCACTGGATGCCGTGCTAGACTTTGAGACTGTATCTGATATTATGAACTCTGGTTATTCGCGAATTCCAGTATACGACGGGGATAGGAAAAACATTGTGACTTTGCTCTATATTAAAGATTTGGCATTCGTAGATACTGATGATAACACGCCGTTAAAGACACTTTGCGAATTTTACCAAAATCCAGTTCATTTCGTTTTTGAGGATTATACTTTAGATATCATGTTTAATCAGTTCAAGGAAGGCACGATCGGTCACATCGCATTCGTGCATCGTGTTAACAATGAAGGCGACGGTGATCCGTTCTATGAAACCGTTGGTCTTGTTACATTGGAAGACGTCATTGAAGAGCTCATTCAAGCAGAAATAGTCGATGAAACCGATGTGTTCGTTGATAACCGTACAAAAACTCGACGCAGTCGTTATAAGAAAGCGGACTTTTCTGCGTTTGCTGAACGTCGCGAGGCGCAAACTGTTCGCATCTCTCCTCAATTAACATTGGCCACATTCCAATACTTAAGTACAGGTAATAAATAAGCGCCCATGAAATATCTTAAAATATTCTCATTTATTTCGTACTTACAGCAGTGGATGCGTTTAAAAAGGATGTCATTTCAGAACCAATCTTGCGGCGATTACTTAACCAAGATATTTTCCATAACATCAAAGCAAAGGGAAAACCGAAAGATGATCCCAGTCTGTTCATATTTACACAGGGAAAAGCAGTTGACTTTTTTGTACTTATATTAGAGGGTCGCGTAGAAGTAACGATTGGCAGAGAAGGTCTACTTTTTGATAGTGGTCCATTTACTTACTTTGGTACACAAGCATTGGTACAGAACGTAGTTGTTGGTAAGTGTATACAGTTAGAAAATCCAATTAAAATAATTCAATTAAAATTGTGTATCTTGTTATAGACTCACCAACTCAAATGGGATCTATGCAGTCGTTAAATATGGATTCGAAAATCCGACAAACTTTCGTTCCAGATTACTCTGTTCGTGCTGCTACAGATGTGATATATATTGCAATTAAGCGTAGCCTCTACCTAACTGCGAAAAAAGCAACGTTGTTAGAAAAGAGCCGTAAGTCGGGCACATTCTCAAGTGAAACAATCGATGACGAAGTTGAACGGTTGCTTCATTCCGTAACTGAAGATGAAAAGCCTCGATTCCTGTCAGCGAGGCGATTATCTAAGCCTAATCGAAGTGTAACATCGTCACCCACTAATAATACTATATCTCAAGAAGATCGAAGTAATAGTGCTAGTGGTCCAATCCAAGCTAGTCATAAAATTGGGCCCGAACGAACTGAAGATGGTTCATTCAGTAGTTTGGTTACCTCGGATGTTGCAGGGGATCTTCAGAATGGAGAAAACGATGACAGGGATGGAACAGCGGCGTTAGCACCGCTCTTACCAAAACCGGAGGACAACAACGAATCCAGGCAAAGCAAGCCACAATAACGACCGTCTGCAAACTATCCTTCACTGGAGATCTAGATGTGCAGATTAAATTGTCCATACTATTTTTTTTAAATTCACATTTGCTCTAACGTATAGCCGACATTAGATTGTGTTTCCTTAATTATTGTTGAGCTTGCACTACAACTTGCAATTTTAATAGAATATTGTTTCTATAATTTTGTACAACTCTTAGAGATAAACTTTTGTGTACAGCAAATTAATCAATATGGTATTTGTTTATTGTTTTTTGTTTTTGTTTAAAAACTCTATGAACAGATTTGATAAAACTTGAGTGCTAAAATTTATTCACAATTAAACATAATAAAATACCTCATAAATTACGTACTTAAGGACAGGAAAGAAGCGCCACTGCTTATAATGCACCCCATGTTTCTACTTCCAATGTAATGGCATTATTAAAATTATGTTTATGATCGCAGCATTATTAAGAACAACTCAACCTAATATGTTATTTAATTTGAGATATTCCTATACCACATCAATATGCACAAGTTTTTGTTTGTAATATTATTTAATGTTTGCGTTATTTCTATATTATATATCCTGCGTCGTGTAGAATAATATATATATATATATATATATATATATATATATATATA